CCTTTAGAGGTAACTACCTGCTTTGCTCTTGCTGCTTTTAATATTCTCTCTTTGTCTTTTGCTCTTGGAATTTTAATTATGATTTGTCTTGGTGTGGTCTTTTTTGGATTCCTTTTGTTTGGAGTTCTGTGCGCTTCCTGGACTTGTAAGTCTAATTCTTTCACCAGGTGGGGGAAATTTTCTCACTATTTCTTTGAGTATGTTTTCGATATCTTGCTCTCTCTCATCTTCTGGGACCCCCATAATTCTGATGTTGGTTCGCTTGAAGTTGTCCCAGAAGTTTCTTACCTTATCTTCAATTTTCTGGATTCTCTTGTCTTCTTGCTTCTGTGGAGGAGTGTCTTCTGGCTCTTTATGTTCCAAATCTTTGACTTGATTCTTGCGATCTTCCATTCTGTTTTTAGGACTCTGTATAATATTTTTTATTTCAGACAATGTATTCTTTATTTCTTGTTGATCCCTTATCATTTCTCGTTGATTCCTTATTAATTCTAGTTGATCCCTTTTCATATCCTCATAGGTCTTATCGACCTTTTCTAGGAAATTCTTGAAAAACCTTATAAGTGTAGATTTGAACTCTATATCCAGTCGCTTTTTATCCTCCATTTCTTTCGTTTGTGATCTATTTTGTTGTCACATTTTCGCAGCTTCCCTGATGAGGCAGAGTTTCAGGGTGGAGCCTACAGCCTTGGCTTCTGTCAGCCCTGCCCTATGCGGCTCCTGGGTCTCAGGGTCCTTCAGTACTCGCTGCAAGCGCCTCTGAGAGAAAGGTGCCCTCGAGTTTTGCCGGCTACCAAACAGCCTAGGCTCTCCCCCAATGAGCCCGGAACTGGGGTTCAGTTCAGCTGGAAGTGGAGTTGGAGGTGGCGTTCAGAGCAGTCTGGAGCCCCAGTCTCCTTCCCACCGGGGCAATCCCGCGGCACAGCCGACCGTCCCTTCTCTGCGCGCAATGTGCGCGCCTCCCGGGACCTCCTTTCGCCGCTCCCCTGGGGCTCCGCCTTACAGCCCGGCTCCCTCTGTGTGAGCCTGGGTCCCCAGGGTCTGGCCTAGAACTGGGGTTCAGAGCAGTCGGAACTGGGGCCAGCACAGTCGGAGCTTTTCTCTCCTTCCCGCTTGGGACCGCCAGCCAGGCACTCGGCCGCCCTCCTCTCCGGCTCTGTCCTCTCCGAGCGCCGCGTGTCTCCGTACCTTGGGCTTTTCCAGCTCCTCCGCACTTCCTTCTGGTTTTCTCCTTGCTTCTCGTTGTAGAATTTCCAGTCAGTCGACTTTCCTGTAGTTTTGCGTAATGTCCATTTTATATTTTAGTTGTAGTTTATTGAAATTGTTGTGTGCGGCTGCGGCTAGGTGTTTACCTATGCAGCCATCTTGGATTCTCCAGGCTGACTCTTCTTTTTCATTTTAAAAAATAGATCTTGCCGAGGCCGGTTTGGCTCAGTGGTAGAGCGTCAGTCTGCGGACTGAAAGGTCCCGGGTTCGATTCTGGTCAAGGGCATGTACATTGGTTGCAGGCACATCCCCAGTAGGTGGTGTGCGGGAGGCGGCTGGTCGATGTTTCTCTCTCATCCACGTTTCTAGCTCTCTGTTCTCTCCCTTCCTCTCTGTAAAAAATCAATAAAAAAATATATTTTAAAAAAATAGATCTTTATGCCAAAACCGGTTTGGCTCAGTGGATAGAGTATCAGCCTGCGGACTGAAGGGTCCTGGGTTCGATTCCAGTCAAGGGCATGTACATTGGTTGCGGGCACATCCCCGGTAGGTGGTGTGCGGGAGGCGGCTGGTCGATGTTTCTTTCTCATCCACGTTTCTAGCTCTCTGTTCTCTCCCTTCCTCTCTGTAAAAAATCAATAAAAAAATATATTTAAAAAAATAGATCTTTATGCCAAAACCGGTTTGGCTCAGTGGATAGAGTATCAGCCTGCGGACTGAAGGGTCCTGGGTTCGATTCCAGTCAAGGGCATGTACCTTCGTTGAGGGCACATCCTCAGTGGGGGGGGGGGGGGGTTGCAGGAGGCGGCTGATTGATGTTTCTCTCTAATTGATGTTTCTGGCTCTCTGGCTCTCTCCCTTCCTCTCTGTAAAATAAATAAATTAAAATAAAATAAAATTATATATATATATGACTGAGCCAGTCGCCCAGGTGGGCACCAGCAACAGAGACAGAGACAGAGGGGAGACGGGGACTCAGAGAGGCTGCAGAGACAGAGGCCGAAGCCGGAGGGACGAGGTGATATGAGCTCAGGAGCCGAGAGCCCCTGACACAGGAAGTGGGAACAGGGCCCGTCCACACCTTGACCTCAGGCTGGGTCCTGCGATGAAAAAACCAGCGCCTGAGCTTGCCCCAGACTCAGCCGGAAGCCAACCCGAGCCCGCCGGGCCTGGTCCCTGCGGCCCAGGTTTCTGGCTGAGACTTCTGGATGCCTGCCTCCTCCCTCCTGCCTCCCTCCTGCCTCCCTCCTGCCTCCTCCCTCCTGCCTCCTCCCTCCTGCCTCCCTCCTGCCTCCCTCCTGCCTCCTGCCTCCCTCCTGCCTCCCTCCTGCCTCCCTCCTCCCTCCTGCCTCCCTCCTGCCTCCTGCCTCCCTCCTCCCTCCTGCCTCCTGCCTCCCTCCTGCCTCCTGCCTCCTGCCTCCTGCCTCCCTCCTGCCTCCTGCCTCCCTCCTCCCTCCTCCCTCCTCCCTCCTGCCTCCTCCCTCCTGCCTCCTGCCTCCTGCGCTGCTCAGAAGCCCCGTGGGTGCGGGACGGGGGACCCTGGGGGCCCTGAGCCGCCCCAGGCCTGCGCAGGCGCCACCTCCGCTGCTGTGGCTCCTGGGCTGAGACCCTCCCTTCTCTGGGCCTCTGTCCCCTTTGAACATCGGGCTCCTGGCGTTCAGCACCAGCCTGGCGGGTGTGGGGTACGGGTGGGGCCTGCTCGGCCAGCGCTGGATGGGACACGGGAGCCCCAGAGGGTCAGGGGGGTGCCCCCTGCGGGGCCAGAGCTGGGTGTGGGCCATGAGGTGCCCGGAGGGAGCCTTTCCAATGGACCCTAATGCCGATGCCCCCGAGGTGGGAGGCCAGGGGGTCTGCCAGGCCCGTGCCCTCTGTCTCCGCCAGCCGCCCCTTCTCCCACGTCCCACCTGAGAACGATGGGGTGTGGGGGACGACGGGGCCACAGGGGTGCCCCCCCCCCCGTGAACTGCTAACAGGAACACCTCCCGGTGAGGGCGGGGGGTGGGGGCAGGCGCGGTGGCAGCGATGTGCCAGGCTTGTCTGACGGGGCCCAGGGCTTCGGCCGCAGCTGCCAGGCCCGTCTGGGGGGCCAGGAGCGTGCTTGGGGCCTGAGGTCACACCGGTGTTGGGCTGTGGCCAGCTTGGCCCACACACCGTTTCTATTCCTGGGTCCCGGGCTCAGGCACCAAATACGGTGCTGCCTGCCTCTGGCGCCCTCGGCGACGGCAGGCCTGGCTCCAGTGGCACAGCCCGCCTCCCCTGGAGGCCCAGGGCTTGCCCCACACCTTGGCAGAGCCCCATCCCCCCAGGGCCCCGGGCCACCAAGCAGCCAGGGCCTCGCTCCATCCCTCTGTCCGTCCGCCCACTCCTCAGTCCACTCCTCAGCATGGCTCACTGCGGGTTAAGAAGACTCGGGACCAGAACAGCCTCGCCCTGCAGGGACACCGGGCGGGGAGCACAGGGGACACCGGGCGGGGAGCACAGGGGACACCGGGCGGGGAGCACAGGGGACACCGGGCGGGGAGCACAGGGGACACCGGGCGGGGAGCACAGGGGACACGGGGCGGGGAGCACAGGGGACACCGGGCGGGGAGCACAGGGGACACCGGGCGGGGAGCACAGGGGACACCGGGCGGGGAGCACAGGGGACACCGGGCGGGGAGCACAGGGGACACCAGGGGAGGAGCACAGGGGACACCGGGCGGGGAGCACAGGGGACACCGGGCGGGGAGCACAGGGGACACCGGGCGGGGAGCACAGGGGACACCGGGCGGGGAGCACAGGGGAAATCGGGCGGGGAGCACAGGGGACATCGGGCGGGGAGCACAGGGCTCTGCCATTCAGGAGCGGGGGGGGGGGGGGGGGGAGACACGGGCAGGGGGGGTCTCCCGGGCAGCTCACCCAACGTCTGACCCCGTCTCCTCACTCACCTGGTTCCTTTGGTTGCTCACTGATGTGCTAACTCACTGACCCACCCACTCACTCACTTGTTAATCCACTCATTGATCACCCACTGATCTGCTCACTCTATTGCTCCGTCCACTCTCTTCTCACCAAGCACAGTGTTCGTTGGCCCCACGGGGTTTGTTCCAAGTAAATAACTACCCAGGCACATACAGAGAGCCCAGGATGGCCGCCTGAGCCCCGGGGGGAACAGGCCTCGGCGGGGGCTCTGCAGTGACGGGGGAGCCACGTGTTAGGGAAGGTGGCCTCTGAGGGAGGGGAGGGAACCGTTTCCAGCGGGGGAACAGCAGCTGCAAAGGCCCGAGGCGGTGGCGTGGGGGATGGGTTTGGGAAAGGGCCACGAGGCGGGGTGTGGCTGGGGCAGAGCAGGTGACGGGGAGAGAAGTGGGGGGTGCGGTCATGGATTGGGGGACACCCAGGCCCCCGCGGGCCGCCCACATATCAGGGTCTGAGCGGAGGAGTGACTGGCCGCCGCGTCCTCTCAGTGTCCGTCCGGCAGCGAGTGAGCGAGTGGACGAGACGGCCATTTGCACGGGGCACGGGGCACGGGGCTGGGCTCGGGGAGACGGTGTGCGGGCCAGTGGACTCAGGGAGGTCCATCCGGCCAGCTCCCTTCTGCATGCACCTTCCTGGGGAGCCACCTTCTCCGGAGTCCGGGCCTCTGCCTGCACTTCTCCCTCATCTCGTTTATGGTCCTCAGCTCTTGGCCAGTGGTCTCCCCCAGGCAGAGCGCCCCCCAGAGGAGGCTGCACCTAACTGCCCCCTGGGGCCGAGCGAGGGGAGAGCCGGTGCACACAGGAGCCCGCGCCCACCTCCCGCCTCCTCTTTTGCAGATGGACCTGCGGGCACGGAGCGCGGGTGGAAGGGCCGTGTCCGTCCTGGCGGAGGAGGCCGGCCGCTGAGCCAGGCGTGTCTGCAGGAGGCTGCCAGGCTGCCGACCCCCGCCTCACCGCCATGGGCCGCCCGGGCTGGTCAGTGCGGTTCCCAGCTGGGGCCCTGGGGGAGGCTGGCCATGGCGCCCTCTCTGGCCGTGAGACCCACTGTCCCGGGAGGGGCTGTCTCCGGCCCCCGGGGTCCCCACATTTCCACGCCTCTGAATAGAAATGATGCAACTGCCCCCTGGGGTTGCTGAGGGGGAGGTGAAGGGGGGGTGGCTTTGTCTCTGGGCGCCCCAGGCCCAGAGGAACTGCTAACGGGGAGCAGAGTCCAGGCCTGTGAGCTCGGCCCTCCCGCCCCCCAGCGCCAGGCACGTGTGTATTGGCTGCGCTGACTCGCTCCCAGGCAGGACGGCGCAGTGGTGAGAGCGCAGGCGCTGGAGCAGGCGGCCAGGGCTGAGAGACCCAGCCTGCCCCCTGCATGAGCCGTCTGCCCTGTGCCTCCGATTCCGCACCTGTAAAGTGGGGTGATGCTTGCCACCCGGTGAGGCAGCGTTAGGGCTGAGTGAGTGAACACATGTCAGTGTGAGAAGGTGGCCTGGCTCTCACAGGCGGACGGGCAGTGTCTCCTGAGGAGGCGGGCGAATGAACAAACACCTGCACTCACCCACGAGTGGGTGCTGGTGTTCCTGCCTTGCAGGTGGGGAGGGTGAGGCTCAGGCAGCTGAGTGATTTGCCCCAGGTCTCCCCGCTGCTTCAGACAGACGTGGGGTCCCCTGCACCCCAGGCGTTTGCAGTCCCACCCTGGGGGATGAGGCCAAGCCTGACTGTTCCTCCCAGCCACCTGGGGCACCCAGCATGCTCCGGCCTGGGCTGCTGGCCCCATGGGCGCGACCCAGACAGGGAGGGCCCCGGGCAGCAGTGCCAGCGAACTGCCCTGGCCCGTCCTCTCCAGACCTGCGCCCGGGGAAGCCAGGGGCCGGGAGACCCTGCGTGTCTGAGCCTGAGCCGGGGCCTCAGGACCTGGCGAGCACCCCCGGGCCTGCGGTTCACCCGTCCTGCCCGAGAGCTCGCTCGCCTGCCAGCACCAGGCCCCCCGGCCCAGGCCCTTTTATTTACTTTTAATATATATTTTATTGATTTTTTTACCGAGAGGAAGAGAGAGGGACAGAGAGTGAGAAACATCGATGAGAGAGAAACATCGACCAGCTGCCTCTTGCACACCCTCTACTGGGGATGTGCCCACGACCAAGGTACATGCCCTTGACCGCAATCGAACCCGGGACCTTTCAGTCGCAGGCCGACGCTCTATCCACTGAGCCACACCGGTTTTGGCCAGGCCCAGGCTCTTGCCAAGGCTACTTGGCAGCCTGCCCTCTTGGACCAGCTCCAGGCCTGCCTTGCGGAGCCAAGGGGTCCGGGCACCGGGCCTCCCCTCACAGGCTGCCAGTCCGGCGTGCCAAGGGGCTGGGCAGGGCCAGGCAGAGGCCTGAGGCAAAGGCACGATTTCTGATAACTCCCTGGCCGCTGTGGCCACAGGGGGTATGGCACCGGGGTGTCCGGAGTGAGCGGCTGGCAGGCCTGTGGGCTCCGGGAGCCAGAGCTGGCCTTGGCCTTGGCCTTGGCCTTGGCCGCTGTGTGTAAGGAAGCGTGTTCTTGGGTCGGGGTTGCCCGCAGCCCCGTCCGAACGCGGTGTCCTCTCTTGCAGACCAGCCAGTTCCTGCCGGAGGCTCCTGGCGGCACCGGGCGGGGGAGACCATGCCCAGGCCCCCGGACTGCCTGCTGGGGCTGCTCCGGGGCGCCCCGAGCCAGCGGGCCTGCACCCTGTTCCTCATCAGCTTCAACTTCATGTGCCTGGTGTCCCTCATGATCTACTGGCACGTGGCGGGCGAGCCGGGGGGCCCGGCGCGGCTCTCTAACCTGCCCGCCGACATCCCCTGCCCCCGCCTGGAGCCCCCCGCGGCGCCCCCCGGTGGCGCCCCGCCCCCCACCAACATCTTCTTCCTGGAGACCTCGGACCGCACCGACCCCAACTTCCTGTTCATGTGCTCCGTGGAGTCGGCGGCGCGGGCGCACCCCGAGGCGCGGGTGGCCGTGCTGATGAAGGGGCTGCTCGGCCGCGGCGCCAACGCGTCCCTCCCGCCCAGCCTGGGCCTCTCGCTGCTGCGCTGCTTCCCCAACGTGCGGCTGCGGCCGCTGGACCTGGCCGCGCTGTTCCGGGCCACGCCGCTGGCCGCCTGGCACGACGCCACGCGCGGCCGCTGGCAGCCCTACCCGCTGCCCGTGCTGTCGGACGCCGCGCGGCTGGCGCTGCTCTGGAAGCTCGGCGGCATCTACCTGGACACGGACTTCATCGTGCTGCGCAGCCTGCGCAGCCTCAGCAACGCGCTGGGCGCGCAGTCCCGCTACGTGCTCAACGGCGCCTTCCTGGCCTTCGAGCGCCGCCACGCCTTCCTGGCGCTGTGCATGCGGGACTTCGTGGCGCGCTACAACGGCTGGGTGTGGGGCCACCAGGGCCCGCAGCTGCTCACGCGCGTCTTCAAGCGCTGGTGCGGCACCCGCAGCCTGGCCGAGCGCCGGGCCTGCCGCGGCGTGCGCGCCCTGCCCCGCGAGGCCTTCTACCCGGTGCCCTGGCAGGACTGGAAGAGGTACTTCGAGGACGTCCGCCCGGACGAGCTGCCCCGGCTGCTCAACGCCACCTACGCCGTGCACGTGTGGAACAAGAAGAGCCAGGGCACGCGGCTGGAGGCCACGTCCCGGGCGCTGCTGGCCCAGCTGTACGCCCGCTACTGCCCCACCACGCACCAGGCCATGAAGATGTACCTGTGAGGCCGGCCGGCCGCCTGCCCGCGCCCCGCACCCATCCGGCCGGAGGAGGGCCCGGGCTCCCTTCCCGGCCCAGCACCGGCCTCGCTGGGACTGGGGGTGCTGCCAGGAACTCGGGGTCTCCGTATGCTGGTCTCCCTTCCCGGGGGAGCGGGGAGATGAGGGGTGAAGGGCAGGGAGGAGGTGCTATTGCAGGACTGGCTGCAAGCCCTGGGGCGTGCTCCCTCCAAGCCAGCGGGAGGCTGGGGGCACCCCTGGGCTGGGGAGACACCCCTCCCTCGGCCGGAGTGCTGTCTCAGGGTGCAGGCGACAAGGGGTGGGGGAGGGCCCCCAGCCAGAATCCGCTGGAGTGAGCAGGTGGAGGGGGCACCCCAGGCCTGCTGGGCAGCTCGTGGGCACGTGGACGTCACAGGATCCTCCCCGAGACCCCAGGGAAGATGGGCTGTTTGGGCCCAGATGCGCGTGAGGGCGCAGCCTCAGGAGCCCAGGGACAGGGGAGAGGGAGGCGGGAGGAGGGGAAGGGAGAGGCGGCCGGCAGAGAGCCGTGTGCAAGCCCGGGCCCCAGCCCCAAGCGGGCGGCGCTCTGCCCCTTCCTGGTTCTGTGTTTTGTTTTCCGAGAGGCTGAGGCTGGCTGAGGGGCCTGAGGAGCATTCGGGGGGAGGCCCTGCCGGCCGCCCATCCTTGATTCTTTCCACAGATGTAGCCTGGATGGCAGCTGTCCACTCCAGGGCCTGGGGGTGCGGAGTATTTTTGGATCCGGAAAAGCATCTTAAAGGAAGCACTCCCGCCCTGTGGCCATAAACACAGGCAAATAATAAACATAACACACGTGACTGGCCCACAGCTGCCCTTCTGTAGTGGAGGATCGCCGGGCGGGGAGACTTCCCTGAGGTCATGCAACCTGCCTGGACGGAGGCCTGCGGAGGGAAATCTGCTCTGGGCGGGCGGAAGGGCGGGCCGCAGCTGCCGGTGTTGGGGCGGCCCAGCACCGGCCTCGCTGGGACTGGGGGTGCTGCCAGGAACTCGGGGTCTCCGTGTGCTGCTCTTTGCCAGCGGAGGGGGAGTGTTTAGAGGCCTCTGGGTTCTGCCTGCAGACTCTTGGGCAGCCTGGTGAGGCGGTGAGTTCCCTGGCTCCAGGGGCATTCAAGAGCAGGTGATGTTTTTGATGCAAACAGTGGATTACTTGTCAGTTATTTCTCCAACCACATTTCACCTATCTTAATTTTCTTCAGAATAAGTAGGTTTTACTTTAATTACACACACACGCACACACACACACACACACACACACACACGTAATGAAATGATCTCTGAGGGCCACACACCGTTTGGTCAGTCATTGGTCGTCAGGCAGTGGGTGTCTACCCCCTGGCCCAGCAGTCACGGCTCTCCTGGCCTGGCCCCGCCTCCCTCTCCAGCTCTGAGCTTTGTCCTCCATCCACACTAAACTGGATATTCTTTTCTTTTTTTTTAAATATATTTTATTGAATTTTTTACAGAGAGGAAGAGAGGGGGATAGTTAGAAACATTGATCAGCTGCCCTTACTGGGGATGTGCCAGCAACCACGGTACATGCCCTTGACCGGAATCGAACCTGGGACCTTTCAGTCCACAGGCCGACGCTCCATCCACTGAGCCACACCGGTCTCGGCTGGACTGGATATTCCTGACCCCCGTCCCCGCCTCACGTCCACGTGTAGATGCTCTGTGCCTTCGCTGCTGCCGGCAGTGCCCTTCTCAACGTCTTCATCTTCAAACTCTTGTTCCTTCCCAAAGACTGACGGCTGCCCCCTCGGGAGGCCCCACGGCCCGCACCCTCCGTGACTGCGGGGCTCCGGGCCCGTCCCGCTAAACATCTTTCTTTTTTTTCTTTTTTCTTTTTTAATGTTTTTATTGATTTCGGGGAGAGGGAGGGAGAAATAGAAGCGTCAATGATGAGAATCATCAATCCACTGCCCCCTCCTGGGAAACAACCGATAACCTCCTGGTTCATGGGCTGATGCTCAGCCACGGAGCCACACCGGCCGCGCCACCAAACATCTCAAAGGGCAGAGCCGGGCCCAGTCCCTCTCGGGGTCACTCCCGGGGCGGCCTCGGGCTCCCCGTGGGGGACTCGCGTGTCGCTTTGCCAGGGCCTCCAGAAGTTCCTGTCGTCCCTGCAGAGCCGAGGCTCGAGGCAGCAGCTCTGGGCCCCACTTCCCCGGGGGCGTCAGGGAGAGCCTTGGGCCCTCAGCTGCCCGGCACTGACCCGGGGCCAGGCCGGGCCAGCTCTGCGGGATGCAAGCCCCCGAGTTCCCGGGCCCTCACGGCGGGGGGGGGGGGGGGAGGCGCGTTCTGGAGACGCGGTCCGGAGGCAGCCTGGCCCGGCCTCCCGCCCTGCCAGGCGGCCAAGCAGGACTCCTGCTCCTCGCTCCTCGCGCTCCTCTCTGAGAAAGGGGCGTGGCCTTCAGAGGTTTGGGTTGGTTTTCCTCCCGGGGTCTAGGAAGGCCCCCATTCACCCGCCGGGACCCCGGGCCAGCTGGCCAGGACAGCAGCAGCGTCCCGGAGCTTGTGGGCGGGCGAGGTAACAGGAAAAGGACATGCTCGTCCAGGCCCTCCTGGCCAGCCAGCCTGGGGGCCCCCGCCTCCCCCACCCCAGTACTAGGCCTCACCCTCCGCTGGGCTTCGGGCAGCCGTCCCAGTGCCCAGGGCAGGTCGGGGAGCCAGAGCCCCTTTCCCGGGAGGCCGCGGGCCGGCCCGGAGCGCTGGGGCTTTTGCAGAGACGGATGGTGCCTGCCCCCCAGCATGGATGCGAAGACCCAATGAGCCGGCCCCTGGCGTGGAGCCCCTTGTTACAACGCTCCTCCCCTCCGCGCGGGGAAACTGAGGCTCAGCAGGTAGGGGGCAGCACTGGGCTTAGCGCCCAGGGCGTGGCCATCCTGCGGGCTAGCTCCGGGCAGGGAGGCCAGGGGGCGGAGCTGGAGAGGGCACCCACGGAACAGCCCAGAGCCCGCCCCCCGCAGACCCCCTGCTTGGCTCTGATTCCAGGGAGGCCCTGGGCTTTGTTCCCTCTCATCCCATCCCAGTGCCTGGTGCCCGGCAACCTCAGCCCCCCCTCTACCTCCTCCATCCTGGAGTAGGAGGCGGAGCTCCTAGTTCTCGGAAGGAGAAGGGAGGGCAGGCCTGGGTGGAAGCTGCCCTGGGGACAGTAATCAGATCCCGGAGCCCCAGGCTGGCTCCCGCCCAGTGCTGGCTGGTGCTTTGGTCTGGGGGTTGAGGAGGATGAGGCCCCAAGCTCTGGGCAAGCTCAGTCATTTAACAACCCCTCCAGCTGGCCCAGCCGCCCTGCGGAAGGGGCTCCGTCCCTCGTTGCTATAACAACACTCAGCTTGTTAAATATTAAACGGGACGTCCTCCATCCGAGTGCCCACCGGGAGCCGGGCCGGGCGAGGAGCTCGGGCTGCGTTCCTGGAAGTCAGGCCTCACCGTTCACTGTTCCCGAGTCTCTGCGAGGCCAGCCCGTGCAAGGCATGCTGGGAGTCCTGCTGTGCGGTGGGGGGCAGGCCTGGACACAGCTTGGGGGCCTGACAGCTGGTCGAGGACTCAGGTTTGAGCTGGGCTACGGGGATGGGGTGGGGGTGGGGGGAGCACCCGCTGGCCGGGCCAGGACCGCAGCGGGGGGGCGGGGGGGGGGGGGGGAACCAGGTGGCGGGTGAGACTGCACCTGGGGCGGGGGCGGGGCAGCCCCAATCGGAAGACATTCCTCATGGCCTTCGCCCACCGCCCAGCCACACTGGGACCCAGCCCCAGTCCCCAGCAGCTTCCAAGGACAGAGAGAAGACCAGAGGCCTCCGCGGAGAGAAACCATTCGGTGGCTGAAACCTTGAGGACGTTACTATCGGCCAAGGCCCCAGGGGAAACTGCTGGAAGGAAAGACTCCAAAACAGCCCGTCCACCAGGGAGGAGACTCCCCCCCCACAGCCCCCAGGTGAGTGCTCCAGTCCCTGGGGCCGCTCCGCCATCCTCACCCCCAGACGGGCTTCCCACGGGCGCCAGCTGTTGCTGTTTCCCAGCTCATGGGAGGTTTGAAGGGGGGAGGAGGTGTTCAAGGCAAATGTTTTTAAGATCATCCAGCCTCACTTCTGCTCACATCCCATTGGCCTGGACTGAGTCACGTGGCCACCGCCAGCTGCCAAGCACGTTGGGAAGTATAGTGTGCGTCTAGGGGGCCAAATACCCAGGGAGAACTCACTGCTCCATCACTAAGGGGGTGACAGGAAGCATGCGCACTGGGGAACTGTGAACAGTGTCTCCCACACATAAAGGGGGGGAAGGGGGCCTCCAGGGTTAGTTAACTCAGCACTCATCAACATTTTTATTTAGTTTTTAAAAATTTTTATTTTTTTATTTTTGAGAGGAAGGAATAGGGAGAGAGAGAACTAGAAACATCAATGATGAGAGAGAACCATTGATCGGCTGCCTCCTGCATGCCCCCACTGGGGATTGAGTCCGTGCCCCTGGCTGGAATAGAACCCGGGACCCCTCAGTCCATAGGCCAACGCTCTATCCATTGAGCCAAACCAGCCAGGGCTCATCCACAGTTTTATATCTTCAGGGATCCAGTGAGTTGACTTGGGCTTATTCCTCATGGCCTAAGGGTGGCTGCCACGGCCCCGCCACCACACCCTCCTGCACTCGTGCCGAAGACAGAAAGAGAAGGCTTCTTTCTCCCTGTGTCTGGGGGAAGTTTCTGAGCAGCCCCTGGCTCAGACCACTTCCCTGACTCGCTGGCCCACTCTTACTCAGTGACCAGCAGAGGGAATGGCACTCCTGGGTCTGGTTTACACCAGTTGAGGTTGGTCTGATTCAGGAGCTGCGATTGCCCACTTCCTCGACAGCACACGCTCAGCTGAGGGGGAAGGAAACCAGGCTTCCTTCAGCAGCGGAAGGAGGATGGGGGTGGCGGCGGGGAAGGAGCCCCTGTGCCCACTGGCACTTTCTACCCACCTGCTCGGCCCCAGCCCAGGGTCCATCTTTCCCGCCCAGGATTTCCCTCACCCCGGCCTGTGACGGGGACAGTCTGCACTTTAAATGTGAGGAAACAGCGGCTCAGGGAGGCCGGGGACTTGCCGCA